GAAGGAAGGAAGGAAGGAAGGAAGGAAGGAAGGAAGGAAGGAAGGAAAGACAAAAACTCCACTTGGGAGGCTGAGGCAGGACTTGAATCCCAGCCTAGCCTGGCCTACACAGCAATGCTGTTTCAAAACCAGAAAATACCGGACATAGAGGTGGCATCTGCCCAGAGTCCCTGTGTTTGACCAGAGCCTCTCGCCACCTGTCTCTCTCCAAGAAATCAGGCCACGCCACCCTGCAGCCTCTGCTGGGGCAGGTTGATAAAATGAGCTGTGACCTCATAGCTCTTCCGGAGCTCAGCCTTCTCCCTCCCACTCGCAGCTGTGAACGCGCCCAGCCTCCCTGACACTCAGACCAAGGACAACCGTGAATTATAACTTGACTTTTGTCTAGGGCTGTCTTGCCTTGTGCCTCCTGGCATGTGGGCTAGGCAGGGCTAAGTCACATGGCACGACCTTCGCCTCCTCTCACTTTGAACCTTAAGGGTCGGAAACACCTTCCATCCTTCAGAACTAAAGGCTCACTGTCCCTTCAGGACTCCATTGTGTGTGTGGAGAGACAGCTGCATGGTTAAGAGTGTTTGCTGCTCTCACAGTGGACCTGACATCAGTTCCCAGCACTCACAACCGCCGGTAACACCAGCTCCAGGGACTCTGACTCCCTCTTCTGGCCTCCACGGGTGTCCGCACTCATATGCGCACGTAATTAAAAACAAAATAAAATGTAAAAATACAATAAATATTGTGCAGTCTATACTGCAGTGCCCTAACTCTCTTAACACCAGTCATAGCTGCCCAAGGCCGTGGGGCTCTGTCGTGATTGGAAGAGGTTTGGCCTCCATAGACTCTTGTGTGTGAATGCTTGGCCCATAGGGAGCGGCACTGCTAGGAGGTGTGGCCTTGCTGTAGGAAGTGTGTCACTGTGGGGGCGGGCTTTGAGGTCTCATACGCTCAAGCTATGCCCAGTGTGGCATATTGTCTCCTTCTGCTGCCTGCGGATCAAAACGTAGAACTCTTGGCCCCTTCTCCAGCATTTCTGCCTGGTGCCATGCTTCCACCATGATGACAATGGACCAAACCTCTGGAACATCAAGCCAGCCCCAATTAAATGTTTTTCTTTGTAAGAGGTGCCTTGGTAGCTGGGTGGTGGTGGCGCACGC